CAGATCTGCTGTCCTCACAGCCTCCTCCCCAAGACGAATGAAGGATTTTAAGGTTTGTTTTTTGTTTTGTTTTGTTTCTCTGAGACGGAGTTTCACTCTGTCGCCCAGGCTGGAGTGCAGTGGCGCAATCTTGGCTCACTGCAACCTCCACCTTAGGATCAAGCAATTCCTCTGCCTCAGCCTCCCGAGTAGCTGGGATTACAGGCGCCCGCCACCATGCCCGGCTAATTTTTTGTATTTTTAGTAGAAACGGGGTTTCACCATGTTGGCCAGGCTGGTCTCGAACTCCCGACCTCAAATGATCCACTCGCCTTGGCCTCCCAAATTGCTCGGATTACAGGCGTGAGCCACCACGCCCCGCCGGAATGAAGGTGTTTCTGTTAATGCGATTTTTGCACCAATCCCTTTGCTCTTTCAAATAAACATTATGGTACCCATTTTAGCAGTGAGGCAACTGAAGCCCAGACATGTTAAATAACTTGCCCAAAGGCTCACAGCAAAGTTGAAAAAGCAAAACTGGGGCTGGAATCCACTTGTCTGATCCCCTGGTACACGACGCAAGGCTTGACCTTAGCTGGACTCGTTTCCAGACAGAGCTTTGGCGAAGGAGTGTCTTGGGCAGCTTAGGAGTAGGAGAGGAAAGGTGAACGGAAACCAGTGCTTGGGGTATGAGCTGCGCAGGATTTTCTAGCATCTCCGATGCAGGTATGTAGACGAAGAGATATAATGGAACAGGCCCTATTCAGAGCAACGAAAAGGAATGAGGAGAGTTGGCTCTAACTCAAAACAGAAGTAAGGTAAACCCAATCAGTCAAGCGCAGCAACCTACTCCGTGGCGTTCTGTGACTCATCAGAAGCTGAGGCTCTCACCAGGACTTTCCAGTGAGCTTCTGGGTTTGCTACTGCTACGGTCACTTCACTTCAGCCCTAGCCCTACTGCTGGCCTTAGGAAATGCGCTGGGCCCCTGGTAGCTCTGGGTTCGGAGAAGGTTGGAGAGGGAGGAGGGGGGCAAAAGTGAAAGTACGAAATCTACAAATGTTTAAGCCAGTTGAAACTCCGATGCCTCTGCCGTTTAGGGAAAATGATTCGACTGGTGACTGGCGAGGACCCTTCCCAAAAGACCACTGGGTTAGGGGGCAGAGCTGGTAATAGAATCCAGGGCTCTAAACCCTGAATCCTTTGCTCTATTTGCTGCTGAGGCTCAGGCCACAGCACCCCAAATTATGACTGTAGAATACCAAAATATGCTATCCCAAAATATACTTCCTTGGCATATTTCAAGCTGGTTATTCTGAGAAACTGCAGACACAGGACTAGTTCTGAAAAGCTGTCCTTTTGTAAAGCAAATTTACATCTATAAAGGAAGTCCACATAGTAAGAGTATCTGTGTCAGGAAGGCAGCTGCTCAGAGACAGCTTTTATTACCTGACAGACTATCTGCATAGCAAGGCAACCTTATTTTGTGCTAACCTACCCTGTGTTAGCCTAACTGACTCCATTTTAGCTGAAAGCCAGACGGGCTCCATCTTAGCCTCCCCATTCCCGCTATCCTCCTCCCCTGAGTGCATAGCTAGGACTAGCTGCACTCAAGGGCACTCAGGAATGCACTTATTGATAAGACACCGACTCAAGCTGTGCCATCCCGGCTTAGGAATGCACCTACTGATAATATGAAAAGCCCCTACATCTGCAACTGCTTATCTTTTAACTTTTGCTTGTTCTGCTTCTGTAAAATTTGCTTCAGCTAGGTTCCCCCTTCCCTCCTTTAAGCAAGGTATAAAAAGGAATCAACCCATTCTTCAAGGCCGAGAGAATTTTTAGCATTAGCCATCTCTCGGTCCCTGGCAATAAAGGACTCCTGATTCAATCTCAGAGTGTGACGCTTTCTCTACAACTCGCTCGGTTACAACAATTTCCTATACACTTCCTCCTCTAACCCTCCTGACACCTGTGGTGCCTCCACACTGTCCCCAGGGAAGCCCCAAGCTCTATTTCTTTCTAGCTCAGAATGCTATAAACTTCAATCATCTGGCCCTTTGTGTTTTGTGAGACTCCTGTGCTGCTGCCTATGCAGTTAATTAAAATGTTTTTTCTTCTGTTAATCTGTCTTATGTCAATTTAATTTGCAGCCCAAGCAAAGAACCTAGAAGAGTAGAGGGAAGCTATTTTTCCCTCCCCTACATTGCCATTTCCATGCCAATGTGAGAGGACTCTGAGAATGCAGATGTCTTGTCTCCTGGAGAAAGAGAGTCTTTTTTTTTTTTTTTTGGAGACGGAGTCTCATTCTGTTGCCCAGGCTGGAGTCCAGTGGCATGATCTCGGTTCACTGCAACCTCCACCTCCTGGGTTCAAGCAATTCTCCTGCCTCAGCCTCTCAAGTAACTTGGACTGCAGGCATGTGCCCCCATGCCAAGCTAATTTTTTGTATTTTTAGTAGAGACAGGGTTTCACCATGTTAGCTAGGATGGTCTCAATCTCCTGACCTCATGATCCACACATCTCAGCCTCCCAAAGTGCTGGGATTACAGATGTGAGCCACCGCACCTTGCCAGGTCATTCTTACAGGATGAGATAGGGGTCAGTACAGCTTACAAGTCACAAAGACCTTGCTGATAAAACAAGATGCAGTAAAGGAGCCAGCCAAAACCCACCAAAACCAAGATGGTGACTAAAGTGACCTCTGGTCGTGCTCACTGCTCATTATTCACTAATTATAATTTATTAGCATGCTAAAAGACACTCCCACCAGCACCATGACAGTTTGCAAACATCAGGAAGTCACCCTATGTGGTCTAAAGGAGGAGGAACCCTCAGTTCTGGGAATTGCCCACTCCTTTCCCAGAAAATTCATGAGTAATCAACCCCTTGTTTAGCATATAATCAAGAAATAACTGTAAGTGTAATCAGTTGAGCAGTCTATGCCGCTGCTCTGCCTATGAAGTAGCCATTTATTCACTTCTCTAACAAACTTGCTTACACTTTATGGACTTGCCCTGAATTTTTTCCTGCATGAGGTTCAAGAACCCTTTCTTGGAGTCTGGATCAGGACCCCTTTCTGGTAACAATAAACTTTGTCCAATCGCATACATGGCTGTCCATACTTTGTTGAATGTAAGCCTAAGAATGGACATTTCCCCTGTATCTTTGGGTCTTCATTCTGAAGGCTCCCATGGCATGGAAAACTATGATCAAATAAATGTGTTTGCCTTTTCTCCTTTAATCTGCCTTGTTGGTTGATTGTCAGTGAACCTTCAGAGGGTACTGGGGAAGTTTATCCCTATAAGGTCAAGCACAAGATCCCAGAGGACATCAGCTGAAAATTCAATCAACTTGCCTGTATCGCCCACCCAAAACCAAAGAAGCATGGTTGAACCCACCTGGTCAAGGCTGGCTTTGCCGGCCAACGTCCAAGGCCAAGGCTCCAACCAAAGCCCAGGCTTCAGCTGCAGCTCCAGTTCCAGTTTAGCTCCAGCTCCAATTTCCAAGGGTGCCCATGCACACACACAAAGGCTCTGGAGTAGAGGCCTTTGTCCACCAATAGAAGGACGAAAGGATTGGTGTGA